CACCCCAATCTCTCTTAGAGGCTGTCTAAGAGACCACACTCCCAAGTTTCCAGCTTGCATCCACCCTATTACCAGCTTGGAGTCTCCTTCCACTTCTAATTGCTGCATTCCCCATTGTTTCGCCAGTTTCAAACCTTGAAGTAAGGCCATTACTTCTGCCCTTAATGAATCTCCCACCCCAATTGGGCCTGAGTAAAGGGCCAAGACTTTTCCTTCCTCATTTCTGTACACACCCCCAACTCCCGACTGACCTAGATTTCCCAAGGAGCTTCCATCAAAGTTTAGCTTCACCCTGAACTGAGGCAGTGGTACCCAACATTCTTGTACCACAGGGGAGGTAGGCGAGGATACAACTATAGTACTCCAATTTCTAATTAAGTCAACTGAGGAGAAGTCCTTGAAGAGATTATGTACTTTCAGCTAGTGCATAACCTTGATGGTGACAACCTCCACAAGTGCTTCCTTGGATTTTTCTTGCCCTAGGAAGATCCTATTGTTTCTCTCTTTCCAAATTGACCATAGGATGGCTGCTCTTGTTATTCTCCACATTACCTTGCCCCTTTTCCTTTGTCGTCGGAAGAAGCTAGAGTTAAAAAAGGTTCAGCACACCCGAGGGGGGGGGGGTTCCATCTGTAACCAAACAAAGAAGAGAACTACTCCCACAAATAATAAGCAAAAGGACAAGAAATCAAAAGATGAGTCGCTGTCTCACCATTTCTTAAGCAAAGGTAACAGGCATGTGGAGAAAGGCTCTAGTCTGGCCTTTTTCTTTGAAGTACATCTATGGTATTGATCTTTTGAAGAGCCACTTCCCAGCAAAAATCCCTAACCTTTGGCGGCACAAGAGAATACTAGATTTCTTTAGCAGGAAAAGAGACATACACAAAAGAAGACTGAACTAAGGCATTGAAAAAAGATGAACAAGAGAAAGTCCCTGAAGAGGACTCTTTCCAAATTCTACTATCTGGGCAGGAAAGATCTACGAAAACTGAATTCAACACAGTGAATAACTCATCTGCAGAAGCCAATTTTGAATCCCTCAACCCTCTTCTCAAACCCAAATCCCAAGTCCCCTCAGACACACGAAGTGAGGAGATGGTTTTGAATTTATTTAGGGAAAGAGAATACATTATCGGGAATATATCCTTAAGGGGGGGTGTTCCCAAGCCAAAGGTCTTCCCAAAACAGAATTTTATTACCGGAGCACACATCAAATCTGATGAAAGGCTGAAAGGAAGGCAAGACTCTAGCAATTGCTTTCCAAGGGGAGAAATGAAAAGCCCTAGGGTTGACGCCAGCATCCCATCCATTAGTTGCCATCCCGTGAATACTTTCCACCACCAAGTGCCACAAATTGTCCTACTCCAAAGGAAATCTCCACAACCACTTTCCTAACAAAGCTACGTTTCTTAATTTGATATTGCCAATGCCTAGACCCCTTGCTTCCTTTTTCCTAGTGTGAATAAACCCTAGTTCATTCTAGGTTAAAGCAGAGAAGAAGGAAGAAGAAAGAAAAGAGAAAGAAGGAGAAGAATGTTTGGCCAAACTAGAAGAGAGAAAAGTGAAAAGTCTCACTCTCCTAGCCGACCCACTTGACTTTTATTCATAAAACTTAAGTTACAAGAAAGACAATGTTGTCCCTCATAGAAGATGGGACACATAACTTAAACTCAGATACAATAGACATTTCACTTTCAATAAGATACACTAGAATGACCAAAATACCCCTGACTCGAGCATTCTAACACCTAGAAACTACTTCCCACTTCACTAAATGGTCCTTTTTTGAGTCACCTGGTTCCCATAGAAAATCTCTCATGAGCTTTTCTAACTTCTTGGCAACCTTGGTAGGAAGCTTAAAGGTAGACAGAAAATACATTGGAAGGTTGGCTAGAATGGACTTGATCAAAGTGATTCTACCCCCTAGTGAGATATAGGGCCCATTTGGCGTGTCTTTCCGTGCGGTCTTTCGGCTGTTTACAAGTCGGGCAGATCGATTTTCGGTCTATTTCCGTTTGGCTCACGGAAGATCTAGCCACCAAAAGCTGGAGCGCTGAAAAGACGTGAAAAGCCCAATTTGGGCTGATTTTGGGAAGCTCCAAATGAAGCTTTTCGCGTCTTCCGCGTTTTGTTCTCACGCGGAAAGACACGGAAAGACGTGCGCCTACCAAACGTGCTTCAGGCTGCTCAGATCTTCATGCAAAAGCTCAATGCGTCTTTTGACTGTCAGAGCTACTAGAAGATCTTCCCAAAAGATGCGTCAAATGGGCCCATAATTTCTCTTCCACCCTGCTAGCTTCTTAGTGAATCTTTCTAAAACTGGGTACCAAAAGTTTTCTGTTCTAGGATTTCCCCCCAGGGGCAGACCTAAATATACCAGAGGCCAACCACTTACCTCGCAACCTAAAGCCCAAGCCACCAACTACACTTCATCATCCCATAAATTCACCCCCGCTACACAACTCTTGTTCCAATTGATTTTCAGATTGGAGACTCTCTCAAAATGCATCACCACCAATCTCAAGTTATCCATCCCCTCAATTTCTCATTCACAAAAGAGAATGATATCATCCGCAAACTGTAGGTGAGTGACAATAACTTGTTGCCTCCCAACTCTCCAACCTTTTAGTAGATTTCTTGAATCAGCCCTAGAAATCAAGACACTTAGGACATCCACTACTAAGGTGAAGAGGAAATGTGACAAAGGGTCTCCTTGTCTAAGGCCCCTCTTTGCAGGAAAGAAGTCCTTAGCTACTCCATTCACTAAGATTGAGAAGTGACAAGAGGTAATACAACCCTTCATCCACTTACAACATCTCTCCCCAAAGTCTCTATTCTTCAACACTTCTAACAAGAAATCCCAATCCACCAAATCATAAGCCTTTTCTAACTCAAGTTTACAGATCGGACCCTTTTCTCCTTTTCTATTTTTGCAATCCATACATTCATTGGCTATTCAAATCTGATCGATAATCTGTCTCCCTTTCACAAAGGCCCCTTGATTTGGTGAGATTAAGGAAGGAAGGACTTTCTTGAGTCTTAGTGCAAGAACTTTAGAAATGATCTTATACAGACTCTCAATCAGACTGATCAGTCTAAAGTCCTTGGGCTGAACTGCAGCCTCACACCCTATTTCAATTAGGGTGTTAGGTATAATGCCTTGCATATTGAGCCATGATGATTAGGGCATTCTTTGAGCCTTGCCTCAAGGCTCCAGCCTCACACGCATTTCAGAATGATATTGTTTAACAACTTGTTCTTATGAACAACTTGTTCTTACTTTACATATTTAATTTTCTTATGTAAATCTATAAACATATTTCTTTGTCCAGGATGAAATTTATGTGGCATTACATATTATGGATGGCTGTTCTTATTTTAGGAGTGGTAGAGAAGATTATTCATTGGTTTAATTGGCAATTTACATTCAACATGGTCAGGGTGTGGATCCATCTATAAGGGCAGAAGTTTGGGAATTTCTTCTCGGTTGTTATTCACTTGGCAGCACTGCAGATTACAGAAGACGACTGAGAATGGCTAGGAGGTTGAAATCCCCTCACTTTCCACTGAGTGTTCATTCTGTTGTACTTTTATCTACTGAACTTTCAAATGAAAATGCTTTATTGCTGACCAAAACAAAAAAAAAAAAAAAAGAGAGAGAGAGAGAGAGAGAGAGAAATGCTGTGCCCCCTTCATCATATGAACAATTGTATTGCTGTAATAAGAACTTTTGATCATTATGTAATACGAATTAAACTTTCCAATGTTTTATTGGTTTCAATTATTATTATTATTATATTATTATTATTATTTTCGCTTTCTTGAGCTGTTTTCAGTTTATCTTGTTTGTTTTATGTTTTCTTATATGCTTTATTAGTTACCTAAAATCTTGATTTTTGTTAGTGTTGAAATTTTCAGCACTCTGGTTCTATTTTACCTTCAAAGAATAATGATGCGTAAGAAAACCTACTGTTTGGGGATAACTGTGTATTATCTTAATTTTGAATATACTAGCTAGCAGTTCTTAGTAAAAGGTCAAGACTTTGTGAAACTCCATGTAGGGTGGGAACATTTTCCAATGAAGTAACTAAAGTGTTAATTACAAGTATGAACTTTTATTTCCTTTTGAAAAAGCCTATCTTCTATTGGTGAAAGGCTTTGAAGTGGGGAGAGACAGGATCCACATCTCCCACTTACAATTTGCTGATGACATCATCTTGTTCTTGGATGCCTCTCTAGTTAACATCTCAAACACAAAAGGGGTAATTGAGTGCTTTGAGCTAATTACTGGCTTGAGGGTTAACTTTTGCAAAAGTGGTATAGTAGCCCTAAATTCAATAGAAGAGGATCTTCTAGAAAACTTTAAAGCCTTGTTGGGTTGCAAAGTGTAGAACCTTCATATTTCTTATCTAGGAATGCCTCTTGGAAGGAATCCAAAAAGCTTAAACTTCTAGGGGCTGGTGGTGGAGAAATGCAAGAAGAAGTTAGCATCTTGGAAGAAGTGCTACCTATCAAAAGGGGGTAAGCTTACTCTCTTAAAGGCCTCCTTAGCAAATCTGCTGGTCTATTTCCTTTCAGTCTTCCAGATTCCGACCAAAGTCAGAAATCAGATTGAGAAACTTCAAAGGAACTTTCTTTCAGAAGGAGATGGGGAGAAAAGAAGCCATTTAGTAAGTTGGGAACAAGTTTGCAAGCCTAAATGATGGTTGGGAATTGGGCATTTGAAAGAGAAAAATACCTCTCTCTTGGGTAAATGGCTTTGGATATTCCCTAAAGAACCTAATGCTCTTTGGAGAGTTTGTCATTTCAAGCAAGTATGGATCAAATACAAACAGGTGGAACAACAACCTCCATTTGAACAGGATAAAGTCAACTAATCCCTGGAAAGATATAGCCTCCACACACACTACTTTCTTTCCTTTTATTAGATATAAAGTGGGCAATGGTTCTAAAATAAAATTCTGGAAAGACCTTCGGTGGGGAGAATCTACCCTTGCTGCCTCTTTCCCAGACTCTTCAACCTCTCCCTCGACTAAGAAGCAACTGTTTCTTCCTGCCTTCCATACCTCATTGCTGAAAACACCTTGAACCTACACCTCAGTAGACCCCTAAGGGACCCACAGATATCTGACTTGGTTGCTTTATTTCAAACCCTAAAAGAAGTCTACATCTCCCCCTCCTTCCCTAACACCCGAATTTGGACTCTCCATCCAATTGGCGAATTTTCTTCTAAGTCTCTTTTCAAGGCTCTGACTGCAGGTGAGCAAAATTCCTCCTTCCCCTTCAAGAAGATCTGGTGCAGCCATATCCCTTCAAGAGTCTGTTTCTTTGTCTGGGAAGCTTGTCTTCAGAGATTAAAGACATGCGGCCTCCTTCAGAAAGAATCTGGGAAGACTCTTTATCTCTCCTCATGTTTGAGAATGGCTGGATTTAATTGGGTTATTTCTGAGCATATTATGGATTTCTTGCATCAGTGGCAACGTTTAGGCCTAAGCAAAAGAGGTAATGTCTATTGGCAAACTGTGTTTCATGCAGTAATGTGGGGTGTTTGGGAGGAAAGAAACAAATGCCTGTTCGATAATAAATTCAGGCCCCTCAAAGAGTTAATTTCAAACATCACTAACCTTTGTAACCTCTGGGCTGTTAATTTAGATCTATTTAAAGGTCTCTCAGTCAATAACCTTACAGAGATGCTCACACATATCTGTTTCTCCCACACCCCCAACAAGCAATCTAGAGACAACCCACTGTTCTCAGTGAAGGAGTGGTGACTTTAAACTTTTACGGAAGCGTGCCAGGAAATCCTGTCCCAGGTGGCATAGGAGGCATTTTAAGGGATGAGCGGGGTAACATCTGCTGGACCTTCAGTAGTCCAATTGGATTGACTAACTATACAAAGGCTGAAGTGATGGCTTCTCTCACGGGAATCAGAGTAGTAAAAAACCTGGGAATTCAGAACGTAATCATTGCAGGTGACTCAGCAAATACTATAAAATGGTTAAGGGACAAGGAGGGGGACCTTGGAGATTGATCCAGTACCTGGCTGAGGCTAGAGACTCTCTGGACTTCTTAAACGCAAGACTAACTTGGATTCCTGGGGAACTAAATCACATAGACTTCCTCCTTTGTAAACCTTTGGGGTTCTCCCCTTGCTTTGTACATCCTTTCATGTACTGTTTCATTTTCTAATAAAATATGGTTAAATTTTCCTCGAAAAAAAAAGAGAAAAAGAAGTGGTTGAGAAGAACAGTCCGGGGGTGCTTAGTTGGTTTGAAGTGGTTTCGGGTTTGAGAGTAAATTGGACCAAAAGTAGACTGATTCCAGTGGGCAAAGTGGAGAATCTTGAAGAGCTCACGGAGATTTTACCTGGTCAGATTGGATATTTGCCTGTTTCCTATCTTGGCCTCCCTCTTGGAGCTAAATGTACCTCTGCGGTGGTGTGGGATCCGGTGGTTGAGAGAGTGGAGAGGAATCTTATGTATTGGAAATCCAAGTATCTACCACTGGGGGGAAGAATCACATTACTAAAAAGCTCACTCTCTAACCTTCCGGCCTACTTTTTATCTTTATTCCCAATTCCAGTCAAAGTAGCCCAAAGAATTGAGAAAATCCAGAGAGGCTTTCTTTGGAGGGGATGGGAGGAGGAAAATAAATTTCATCTGGTTAACTGGGATCAGATATGTGGCCCTAAGGAGAAAGGGGGGTTGGGGATTAGGAAGCTAAAGTTGTTTAATAAAGCTCTCTTGGGAAAATGGATTTGGAGATTTGAGAAAGAAAAAGACAGATGGCGGAGGAAATTAATTGCAGCAAAATATGATACTGACAGTGGGGACTGGGTAACCACTAATCAATTGAATTCTTTAGGTTGCTCCCTGTGGTAAAAAGTCATGGAAGTTCTCCCTTGGATGAGTAGTGGTCTAATTCTAAAGGTGGGGAATGGGAGTAGGTTGCGGTTCTGGAAGGATACTTGGTGTGATAGTACACCTCTGGCTGAAGTCTTCCCTCAGCTATTTCAGATTGCGGAAAATCAGAATGGATTGGTGGCTAGTCAGTTTGAAGTGAGTGGGGGCACTATTACTTGGAGCTCTTCCTTTAGAAGGTCATTTCAGGACTGGGAAATTGGGAAAGTTGCTGATCTCTTGGGGTTGCTTTACCGGCAGTCTGTTTTGGAATGGTAGAATACTGATATGTTTCATTCTATTGCCAATTGGCATATTTATACA